GGGAGGGAGCTGATTTTGCTTCAGAACTGAAGTGGGTGTATGAAATCTGTTCCTCTCCCCCGGCTGCACATTCTTGGGAAGTTGAGTGCCAGAGGTGGTCACAGACCAATCTGTAGAATCCCCCAAGTGCTGATGGAGGGGCAACAACAAGAGGAGATAAGCAAAAGAGAGACAGCCTCTGACCCTTGGGGCAGGAAGCCTGAAGGATGTGCAAGCCGTTACAAGAAAGAATTGTTTGGCATATCCATTGCCATGTCCTGGGATTGAAGCCAACTTCCCATCACCTCCTGCTAGTCCTTAAAAATCACCTTAGAAGAACTCAAAGCTAGACGGGAACCTTACCATGCCCTTCAGTTGTGTTTTACTTCAATCCCTCCCAGGAGTCCCTACCCAACACCTTGATACACAGCAGTTTCTAAGGTTTACATTTTGGACTGCAGTCAAGAAAGTGGCGCAGTGTAGTTGTGGGAGACCTATGAAGACGTGGGTGATATTTTCTCTCCAAAGCATTGATTCATCATGAGGAAAGTCAACCACATCTTGTCTTCATGCAGGCACCTTGGCACCAGAAATCACCCCCCTTCATGATTTGCAGGAGGATGCATGTATTTGAAACCAGCAGGTTAGCAGATATGGAAATGGTAGCTCCTCAGATTGAATAAAGCGCTCCCGGGGCTTCTGGCAGTGAACCATGCAGACAGAGGCTGCAGAGAGGAGTACCGCACCTGTGGGTGTCAGGCATGGATCCGCGAGTCTCTTATTCCCTACAGTCTATCCCGTTCTAACAGCAACCCTATGGGATGATGGTCATGTTTCCCATTTCCTAGGTGAAAATGTCAGAGCCAGAAAGGTGAAGTGCTTACCTTAGTGTACAGCCAGGGCCTGAACCCCAACCCCCGCACGCCACCCCTACAACATTTGACTGCTGCTCATACAGAAGGAGGCTGGAGACTGAAGGTAATGCTGTAGGCCTGTGAGACTGTAGGTAATGGCAACGCCGGGGTGTAGCACAGTTAACGCAGGGTAAGGACATCATGCACAGTGTGAGTTGTCGAGGTACTCCAGCGTGTCAGCTGCCACTTCAGGAGGAGGTGGATGTGAGTGTGGAACCATCTTCTGATGTGGAATACCAAGGGTCCTGACTAATAACAAGAGCGGTGGCTTAGATCGTCTTTGTACTTGCAAGGGAATGAATACTGTCCTGGATGCTAGAATACCAGATTACTTCGTTCTCAGACCTCACTGAGGGATGACTGTTATTGGCAGCAGTCGAGTGCAGGGGGTGAAAAATTTGGGATCGCCGAGGCAGCCAAACTAGAGTCATCACTCATGCAGCCTTGGAAAAGCCACCTTACCTCTGAGTTTGTCTCTTCATCTATAAAGGGGGCATAATATCAGCCTCAACTTAGTTAAGTGGTTGGAGGTGCCAGTAAATGAGATAGGATCAGGAGTATTGAGTAACATGATGCTCACAGCGTAAGTACTCCTGGCACCTTAACCACAGTCATTGTTGCCATGGCCACACCTATTTGACAGAAGAGGGAACTAAGGTTTTAACATTGCGTGGGTTTTACAAAGGACACAAAATTAAGAGTGTAATTGGGCAGTCTGATCCCACAAACTACACTATCCATCCTGGAGAAAGGCTGATAACAGGGTCAGAGTAGGAGAGTAAAGGGAAAACTTGTCCTTGGACTAAAGTGATAGATGACGGTAGCAGAGAGGAATGTGGACAAGACAAAGCAAAGGTTCTTCACTCTTTCAAAGATGGCCAGTGCCAAGCTGGCTCTCTCCGGGCAGGTAAGCTGCTGTCCTCATGATTATCTTTCACAGTTCATTATATATCAGCCATGACCTCCTTTCCATGTGGCAGGCCAGGTAAGACTTTTATTACAGCTCTACTCCATCCATGAAGCTCCCCAAGGTACCCTGATCATGTCTAGCACATAGTACATGGAGCAAGGGTGTTGTAGGGTCCCAGACCAGCATGCTTAACCTCCACCTGTCTGCTGATATCAGTGATTCCCAGAGGAGTGTGTGTGTGTGTGTATTTGGTCTCATAGACCTTTTAAAATTATTATTATTATTGGATTCCAGTTGTGTGACTAGAACTTCCTCCATTCCTCAGTGACTCAGAGCAAGAAGATGCTGATCCATTCCTTGGGCAGTCACTGGGGTAGTCTGACGACTGGCTGCTTCAGAGGCATCGTTGTTCTGTGGGAATTATTGCTTCTCTTTTGTAATTAAGTTCAGAACATTTCAGTCCCATCCCAAGAGGCACCTGACAGCGCGTGGGATTGATGAATGTAATTGCCTTTAGACTCTATTTCTGTACAGTCTTCTGTTGGTAGGTTCTTTGTTTTGTCACCTTTCTGAGTATTTAATGATGTTCTTTGGACAATAGCTGAGACTTGCAAGTCTTCTTTCTCCCTTACCAACAGGACACATAAAAGTTCACACTGGGTGTTCGGTAGAGGAATGGTTCTCTACTGTAGGAGAGTATACGTGATGCTGTTGAAACTTCGGCTTTGTTTTGGATAGGACATTTAAGATCCATGCAATGTAAGGCTCAGATCCTGAATTCTTGCCTCCTCATTTTCCGTTTAAATCATAAATATCCCTCTTAGGCTTCATTCATACAATTATACACTTACCTATTTCCTCTTTGCCCATTTATCGATGTGTCTCGAGCCAAGCCTTCTGCCAGGTGCTGCGGGCAGAGAGATGAACACAATGGAGTCTCTGTCCTTGAAGCACTCTGTCTTGTTGAGCTGTGATTTAAAATGATTAATCAATTCAGGAATATTGGATTTCTCCAAAAGCTACTGTGGGGAGAAAGATAATTACCCAAAGTCTTTAAATCTGTTACCCATTTTAATGGATTTAATTAGGTAAAATTCATAAAACTATAATGCTGGATGGATCCCAGAAAGCATTTATTTATTCTTACTACTTCTCTCTGCCTTTAGGCCACACTGTATTCAAATTATCCCTCAAATCCATGCATTTCAGAAAAGAGCAATTATTTTGAAGAACAATAGCTTTTGGCCCATTCAGATAAAGCTTTTCAGTGAAGATCCAGAGGGAAAATGATGTAGGCTTGTTGCAAGAGTTGAGGTGCACAGACGCAAAATATTGTTCTGAAAGACATGAATGGAATCAACCATCCCGACACATATGTGTGCTCACATATACACTGGAGGTCGAATCCTCATAAGCTATACCATTGAGGTGTGTCAAATGCATATGGAGTAACATGCAAAATTAAAAACAAGGCTGTAATATGATAAAGACTCTTGGAGAATTCGTTCAGCTCCACCCACCCCCAAAAATGTGTCTTAGCATTTGTCGAATCCTGTTTTGCTATAACACAGAGGCATACCTTCTGTTTAGTTGGCATTTTTGCATCAGACCAGCCAGTCAACAACATGTTTGAAGCATCTGCTTGAAGCAGCTCTCTGATGATCCCAAGGCGGCCGTGGCCTAGTGTAAGAAAGGGGACAGGGTGTGGCACCCCAGAACCGAAACCTGGATGCTCACCTGCCGTGTGCTGGTGTTTCTTGTTTGCCCTGACCAATGCTGTCCACTTCCTAAGACCTTTTGTAAGAATTTGATGAGTTATTGGGTATGAAAGTATTTGTAAATTGTGCAATGGTGGCATAACTTGCCTATTCTAAGTGGAAATTTGTTCTCATGATCATAGATTTGTAAAGATATTAGGGTTTGTATTCTTTCAACACCATGCACTTTGCATTGTAAGAGTATTCAGTGGCTCTAGACATAACACTCTGAGATGGGGTTCCTGTTACGATCTTCAACACCATTTCATCCTCTCTACTTGATGGGCTATAATGAGTCTTTATCCACAGTTCCTGAGATAGTCAAAGTATATCCTTGGAACTCTCCTGACTGTAATGTCCGCCTTTCCCCACTTTCCTGTCCATCTGGGTGATCCTTCGATGTTTTCTTATCTCTCTCTCTCTCTCTCTCAAATCCATGGACGTCGCTCTTCCTCAAGTTCCCATCAGGCCCATGAAGATACATGTAATGCAGTGTTAATGCAGTGTCAGATCTGTACGTCGTTATTTTTTTTCAAGGTCTAAAATGATGTATCTAGTGAGGTTTATTGCATGGAGAGATATTTCCACAACATTTACTGTTCTCTGTTACACAGGATCCATGAGCTCAGGTATCCATTCTGGCTTTTGTGAACATGGGAAGTTATTGGCTTATACAAGCAAGAGGTCCAGGGCCATTCTTTTTTTTTTTTTAAAGATTTTATTTTGTTTTTATTGGAAAGTCAGATATAGAAAGAGGAGAGACAGAGAGGAAGGTCTCTGTCCGTTATTCACTCCCAGTTGCCAGAGCTGGGCCTCTTCCGGTCTCCCATGTGGGTGCAAGGTCCCAATGCTTTGGGTCATCCTTGACTGCTTTCCCAATTCACAGGCAGGGAGCTGGGTGGCAGGCAGGGCCTCCGGGACAAACTGGCGGCCATATGGGATCCTGGTGCATGCAAGGCGAGGACTTTAACCGCTAGGCTACTGCTCCAGGCCCTGGGAGGACACTGGGTGCTCCAACAATATGTCATAAGGAATCTGTTTCTACTTTCCAGTGCCGTTTTGTGTGTGCTAGCTTCATTTCCAAATTGTGAGTATGATGACTAAATAGAATTTTTTCTGTTCTAACCATGTCAACTTAAAGGGAAGGAGGGCAGTTGTAGGACAAAGGCAAGAAGAACGAGGAGGAAAGATGGGGAGCCAGCACGACAGCAGACGTCCCTCCGTGTCGTAGCACTGGGCTCCCCGCACATCTCTGTGTACCTGGGGTCAGTTGGAAGTGCACCTGCATGGGTGCTCAGGGATGTTCTTGAGTGAAGGGATGTGCAATTTATTTTCCCTTATTTCTAGGAACAGACTTCTTTAGCTCCCTAAAGACAGATGGTTCTATTTAGACTACCTTCTGCCTCATCCTGTGTTTTGCTTTCTTTTACCTGTTGGCAGGATCCGACGTCTACTTTCTTCCAGTTTGGAGCGTCCATCCAGCAGCAAGCCACAGTCATGCTGAAGATCATGCAGGATTATGACTGGCATGTCTTCTCCCTGGTGACCACCATCTTCCCTGGCTACCGGGACTTCATCAGCTTCATCAAAACAACAGTGGACAACAGCTTTGTGGGTTGGGACATGCAGAACGTGATCACACTGGACACATCCTTCGAGGACGCCAAGACCCAAGTCCAGCTGAAGAAGATCCACTCTTCGGTCATCCTGCTGTACTGTTCCAAAGACGAGGCGGTTCTCATCCTGAGTGAGGCCCGCTCCCTCGGCCTCACCGGGTACGATTTCTTCTGGATCGTGCCCAGCCTGGTTTCTGGAAACACAGAGCTCATCCCCAAAGAGTTCCCGTCAGGACTCATCTCAGTCTCCTACGACGACTGGGACTACAGCCTGGAGGCAAGAGTGAGGGACGGGCTGGGCATCCTAACCACTGCCGCGTCTTCCATGTTGGAGAAGTTCTCCTACATCCCCGAGGCCAAGGCCAGCTGCTACGGGCAGACGGAGAAGCCGGAGACCCCGCTGCACACTCTGCACCAGTAAGACAGGGCTCTTGGCTCTTGGGATCCCAGTTTTGTTGCTTGCTTGTTTACATATTCATTGATAGAAATATACACGGAAAGTAGAGATTATCATGTACATATTTGGGATTTCTATTCTGTTTAGATTCACTCTTGTTCTTCCTTTCTTCTTCTCATCTCCTTTTACATTTAAGATAAATAATATCATATGTTATTTTCTAAAAATTCGTTTTTTATGTATTATAGTATGTCTTAGGAACCTGCAGGTGTGTAATCTGTCCATCCCTCGTCTGTTTATAGCTGCACATCAAGTATATACAAGTTTCTTATAACATGCTCATCACATTCTTCCATATAGAAGGATCATGATTTATTTCTAACTCACATTATGATTACAGTTTAGTTTTGTCAGATTTTTTTCTTGCACGAGAAGCTAAACTACAGGTATGGCCATCATGTGGGTCTATGCACATGTGAAATTATTTTTTCTAAGATTGCTTCTGTGATGTGGGATCTTGGGGGTCATAAGTCAAATGTATTTTAAAATGTAAGCATCTGTGACCCCATCGTGGCATAAAGCCTTTACGCCAACTCATGTTCACAGCGGCTGTCGGTGAAATCACCCAGTTTCCCACACCCTCAGCAATGTGCAGTGGTTGACAGAACATTCCCCAGACTGGTGCTTTTAGCCCCTGATCTTGCATCTCAGTTTCTTCCCTCGTTACATCCTAAGTATTTGTGTAGGTCACTGGAAATGTTGGCGAACATCATGCTTAAAGCGGAATTATACTCCGCCATACGCTTGGCTCGTAACGTACCTGACTCATCGTGGTGGACATGTAGTTGATTTCATGTTTCCGAGTAATGTCGCTGTTCTTTGTGGCCTCTCGTGGGCTCCGCCGTCGAGATTTACAGTGATTGCTCCAACACTCCTTTTTCTGTGATTTTGCCTGCTATTCGTTGATTCAATCCATGCTTCATTCCTGCAATAACGAGCAGTGTGGCACTGCCATTAAGGGATTGGACCCTGGACTTTGACGTGCCTGGGTTCAAAGGCTGTCTCATCCACTTTCTATGTGACTCAGACAGTCACCATTTTTCCTTTTCGTGCCTGAGACACTCATTGTAGAACAAAAACCCAACTTCCTCTCTCGGCCGTGATTCCCGAACTGTAGCACATGTTGGAGTTTCTGGGATGGCTGTGCACCTTGGTATGTCTCATGGAGTAGCAGTATCAGAATTTGCATTTCTGCATTTGTATCAGGTACCTGGGGGACACTGATGCTGCAGCCTGGAGATTTTGTTTTGAAGACCTATGTTCTCGGGGTTGTGGTGAGCGTTAAACGAGCTGACACCTGAGAAGTGTCACGTAGCACTGTGCTAGCGTACCCCTCGGTAAGGAGTCAAGGCTTTCGGAGCAGTTGGTGATGTTTTAGGCCATCATTAATTGCAGTCAGCAGATCAGGTGAGCCTGTGGCCAGGGGAATACCAGGTTCTCATGTTGCTGTGAATGGGTCTGCAAGTTTACGACTTTGAATCTCCTAGAGCATTGGGCTATGTGTGTATGTGTGAAGTGTAGGTAGATTTATTATTTTAAAGATTTATTTTTATTTGAAATACAAATTTACACACACACACACACACACACACACACACACACACACACACACAGATCTTCTATGCTCTGACTTACTCCCCAAATAGATGTAATGGCCAGAGCTGGAGCAGTCCAAAGCCAGGAGCCCAGAGCTTCCTCTGAGTCTTCCATGTGGGTGCAGATGCCCAAGGATTTGCACCATTTTTCACTGCTTTTCAGGCACATCATCAGGGAGCTGAATTATAAGTGGAGCAGCTGGAACTCAAACCGATGCTCATGGGGTGCTGGCACCACAGGTAGAAGCTTAACCTACTAAACTATGGCTCTGGCCCCGGAGTATAGCTCTTTACAATTAGTGTACAGCTAAAAACGTGAACTCTTGAATTGAGAAATCATGCTCTTTTGACACTCTCGCTTCCTCTCTCCTCAATCCTGCTTCTACATCCCCGTTTATCAACATTTTAAAATAATTGTCCAATTGCTAGGGAAAAACAAGAGTCAGTGTAAAACACAGGAGCCTCTTATGAAAGAATTGCTGCCAACCCAGAAACAAGTGCTGCGCTAATGAATTCGTATTTTTCCTAATAAGGTGTGCCCTGCGGCTGGAGCACTGAGAAACCTAAGATTCTGATGGAATATAACTCAATTGTAGGCCGATTGAAACGTGTACAGGAAAAGGAATTTGGGGAGGATAATTGGCCAAGGTATTCAGATCCCTTTCCAGCGGCCGTCGTGGATTCTATGACTTTAAACAAAAGTCCTACTGTTATAAAATGCTGTCGTGCCATTTCCGGAAGTTTGGATGCAGCAATTTTGTAAGTGCTAGTTCAGCTCTCAGAGAAGCATGCTTTAAATGCAGGAAGTTGTCTTCTAGTGCTTTGTGTCCAGGGAGGCCTCTCTGCATCCGTGGATGACGAGGGCATGAGGTTGGGGAAGGGCACAAGTGTCTCTGCTTAGCCCCTCAGCCCCAGCAGGTGCAACACTCCTCACACTCCCCCAGGAAAGAGTGGAGCCCCACCACGTGCCCTTGACTGAGCTGGAGCAAGCCTCAAAAAGGCTCTTGTCAAGAAGAAACCAGAGTAGGACTGCTGGGGTTTCTCCTCCACCTCCATCCCTGCATGCACAGATCCTGTGTAAGTCAGTTCCTGGCACATATGGGGAAGTTAGGGAATCCTTCAGTTGTCCGAGACCATACGTGCCAATAAAGATGGGGAAAACTTGTCTGAAGACAAGCTCATGTGTGTGTGTGTGTGTGTGTGAGAGAGAGAGAGAGAGAGAGAGAGAGAGAGAGAGAGAGAGAGAGAGAAAGAGAGAGAGAAAGAGAGAGAGAGAAAGATGTAAAACTTGATAAAATACCTGGCTTCATATGTACCATGGAGAACTAACTCTGGCACATAACATTTGCTTCTGTGTTTTCAAGGACAATATGGAAGTCCTGCTCAGACCTCTGCCCACAAGAGGGAAAAATCCTGGGCTACATTTGGTATGCGTCCAAATCCATGTTGTATATGTTTTTGTTCTTTAAGTATCAATGCATGCAGAGCTTTAGAAAGTTTGTGGAAAATGTACATTATTTAGAAAAATTTCTAAATATTTTATTTATTGGAGAGAGAAGGAGGAGGAGGAGGAGGAAGAGAGAGAGGGAGGGAGGGAGGAAGAAAGAAAAGAGAGAGGGAGAGAGAGAGAGAGAGAGAGAGAGAGAGAGAGAGAGAGAGAGAGAGAGAGAGGTACCCCAGGCTGAATGTCTGCAGGAAGCTGTAGTGAGAAGGAACTTGGAATTGAACCCAGGCACTCTGCTATGGAACATTAGCCTCCCAACTGGCATCTTGATACATTATTTGTGTTTTCCATGAACTTCTTAAGGTAATCTCACATGTGCAACCATGTACCCAATGTATGTTACTTTTTTGTTTTAATTTGAAAGGTGGGAGTTACAGAGAGGGAGGGAGAACACACACAGTGCACCACACCACGCCACACCGCACCATCCCCACCTCCCAGCTGCTGCCGTTGTTTCCTAGGTGCGTTAGCAGAGGGATGTATCCCAGGTGGATCAGCCCCAGGCGTGGCTCCACCGCGGGCCCCTCAGGGACCCTGTCAGGTATAAACAGTGTTGAAGTTATGTACACCCTACCTGCTGCACAAGGAAGATAGTGAGGGTTATTTGTTTACCAGATGCTTAGTAAAGTAAGACTTACATTCTGTAAAAATAAAAAAAGTCTTAAACAAGGTAGGAAGCAAGCCTTCGCTCTCCAGCCCTGCGCTTTGATGGATCTGACTTGGACTGTAGATGCTTTTGTCCTCTACCCAGAACCATCCAGACAAGAAGGCATCAGGACCCACAACCTCAGGATATACCAAAGGGGTACAGTCTCGTGAAAGACGACACAGAATAGGACATAAATCAATAGCGAGATGGATATGGCGTGTGTGTGTGTTCATGATCTTACCGTGAGTCTGTAACCTTTGGGGTTACAGGAGAAAAAAAAATCGGGGGGCGGGGAGGGGAACATTTTCATCCTAGTTTATATGCCTAGTTTTACAGAAGAGACTTGGAAAAGAGCAGTCAGCATTTTCCGAAGTTCAGAAATAGCTCAGCTGGGTTATGTAAGCTCCTTTGCTCCAGCACGGTTATTAAACATCTTCCCCTCCACCAGAACAGAGCACATCACGGGCTACTCCCAACGCCGTGACAGTCTGGACAGTTCTGTCCCAGGCACCTGTCCACTTCACTAACGCACGGGGCCCCAGGGAGGCAGTGGGGTGCCACCAGTAGGAGAGTGGGTCCTGGAACCAGGCTGCCTGGGTTTGAATCTCTGCATTTGTCCTAGTGTTTTGTTAAGTCTCTCAGCTGCTTCAGGTCTGTTCCCTTAGGTGTTACAAGGGCATAAGAAAAATATCTGCTTTCTATGTCAGTGCCCAGGACATGGAGGAGCAGTCTACAAATGGATATTATGACTAACACACTTGGGATTTTAACATTGTGAGTGAAACAAGTATATTTACATGCCACAATATTACCATTTATACACTTCACAGAAATGTATTAAGGGTCTTTTGTATTCTTAGCTAGAGACCAGAAACACCACCAAATGAATACAGGGCACATAATAGTTGCATTTTGTCCTTTCTCCGAGGTCTGGGTGCTGGTGGAGTACCCCATAGCCAAGGTCCAGCTGCCCAGGTGAGAGGTCTGGAAGGAAGTGAGATGTTCTTGTAAGGAGAAAGGGTAGGGTCATTGTGACCTGGGTCCATGTGAACATTTCCTGAGCTGCTCTCACTCAGCTCTGGTTCTTTCTGCTGGTGCTTAAAGCCCTAGCCGTGAGTGCCCAGACTCTCATTTGAAACAAGGACACCCGGAAGTTCAGCTCCCATTTTAAGACTGTGGATGTATGGAATGCAAAACATGATGATTTCTGCT